TACAGCAATGTATGCTCCCAGAACAACTAGATCTGAAGAATTAATCACTGATGCCTCTTACAGGCCAAAGACAGGTAGGATTGCTGGAAAGCAATGACCAATACTTCATGGATCTTTGCTGTACAAAATTATGCTCTTTTAGGTGTAAGAAAAGAAATTAAACCAGATGAGTTCCAGGTAACCTGCTTCCTGGCCTGCAAACCTTTCATAAAAGTACAAAGAGAAACATTTATTTTTTTTACCATTAAGGAGCCCATGTATCATACTTCCATTTTGGTCTCATAATGTACCTTCCAGAGTCAGTTGCTGCACCCGTAAAGATCTCTGTCATGGGACAGCCCCTTACTAGGCCAGGTGCAATGCAAACAAAACTCACTGGTTTGATTTTTGGTCCCATCATGTCAGCTTGGGCAAAGGAGGTTTTGTTTAGATCTAAGTGTACATTAAGTTTAGATCGTGATTAGACGAAAAGGTAAAACAGGAATAGATTTTGGATTCTGTGGCTACACAGTCAAGGGAGCTGATTTGGGGAGGGTCAGTCCAAATCTCAGCTAGAAAAACAGGCCCCTTCCAATTTTGGACCTGATATAGATTCCAAACCCTGGAGGTGGGTTTAAATCGAGGTACTTGAGTCCCCTCCCCATCACGGATACCAAGAGAAATGCAGCATCTGAGGTTCCACTTACAGTCCACCTTGAGTTCAAAACCTTTATTAAGAAATCGTTGGCACAGCGTAGAGCTGAACCAGCAAATCTAAGAATAATAGATAAAGGGAGCAGTGAGGAGGGGCAGGATGAATTAACCCTCTACAGTGTAGCTTGAATATAGTTCCACTGCTTGTTCAGGAGATGGTCCTTAGTCTCGTATCTGCTTTCCTATGTATCACCTATCTGATGTGATCTTTGATATCTGTTTTGAGTCACCTTCTCCCTTCTGAGGACCAGGCACTGCATTTCACCTTGCAGCAGTCTAGAGAGAGAGGCTGTGCAACACAGATGTTTGGAGGAGTGGCAGCACTTGCCCCCAAAGGGCCAAGACATTGGTATCGATTTCCTTCTCCACTGGTGACATTTTTACAGTGTTAGTTCGTCACCCCCCACAGAGACCTTAGGGCTCCATTAACAAAGAAAAAACTATGCTCCAGGCAGCTCCCTCTTCCTGTATTAGGTGAAGGAAGGGAAAACTTTCTCCTCAGCTGAGTGCTCAATCCATCCATGCCCTGATACTATGAGAGAAGAGCTTTATTAACCAAAAAAGGGGGAGCTGAGAGTGACCATCTCTTCACCTTGCCTAATACTTCTGAAAAATCCTTGCAACCTTTTCTCTCAGAGGCTCTCACACCTTTGTTGTTTGCCATGGGCAGGAGGAAATCCCCATACAATTCTGCTCAGATTTTAGGTGAGTTGTAAAGACTTAAGAATTGACATTTTCTCTCTCATTTCTGTTCCTCAGAAAAACTGTGGAGGCTTGTCCAGATCTCTCTTTTTTTTTTTTGCACAAATTTTATATATATATACACACACACACATATATACACATACACACAGTTATATATACATACACGCACACACACACACATATATATAATATATATATATATATATAACAACCTGTCAAGTGACCACTGTGGTTCACTTGGTAGACGAAAGCATACTTTGACGGTTAAACTGTTTTAGTCCCGTTACACAGTTCGCACCGTGCACCCATCACCATCCCAGTGCTTTCACTCATTGTTCTCTTCAGAGGGTTTTCCTCTCAAACGTCTGTGCCAGTCTCCTCTCCACCATATGAGGGCTGTCATTTCTTTCCCATTGTCTCTTCTGTCTTTCTGTAGTACCAGTACATTTCACTCTGCCCCATTTTAATGCAGTTCTCAACTGTCAGGGCTGAGTGTCTGTTTATCAGCAGGTTCCTGGCTTTCCAAAGTGCATACCTGAAGCAGGATCAGGATTTGAACTGGTTGAAGTGGGCTGGTGGGGTCCCTTACTTCCCTGGTCAGGTTTCTGAAACCTGTCACCACCAGGAGGAGCACGCAGATTTTCTTCTACATCTCTCTAGCATATTGGCAGTCCCAGAAAAGGTGGTAAATTGTTTCTGCCTGCCAGTGGCAAGTCTGCCTTGGGCAATTTGATGGACCTCTCTGCCATGCCCGCACAGGGAGTGCCCGGTGGGCTGCCTGCCAGTTCAGGTCTCTGTGCTTCTTCTGCAGGTCCTTGTGCAAGATTCGCTCCCACGGGGCCTGGCAGCTCTCACCAGGTAGAAAGTCTATGGGTGATTACATTGTTCTTTTTTTTTTAAGGAACATTTTTCATGTCCCAAGTCAAATTGGCTAAAATCAATTCCAAATCCGTGAGTCATTCAAGAACCAATTGTGGCCCTACTACTGGCAAACATCCTCCACCCCCACCTGGGGCTTCAGGGCATCCTCCATACAGGCCCAAACCTGGAAGCTTGGGGTTCAGATGCCCCTGAGTTTCGCTTGCCCTCAGCCGTGTGGCTGCTGGAGCAAGCTAGGGAGAAGTCTCCCAGGACCAGAAAGTGGGCGTAAAGCCAAGATCTTCCCACTGGAAATCAAAGTAGGAGGGTTACTATACATTACCTCCACCTGAGTTACTACCCGGTGCCAGAAAAGCAGTTAGCCCCTGTCCCTAGGTAAACTGCCTTAGTGGTCACAGTATTTCCCCTGCCAGGATCAAGTTAGGGAGAAATGAACAGGAAATACCCAAATGCTTCTGCCACAACAGCAGCAGCAGGTACTGCACAGAGAGCACCTGAGATTTGCTATGGTAGTGATAGCAGGAGCAGGGGGGAAAAGCCAGGCTTCCTGCCACAAACACTCCTTGCCCCTGCCCTGGCCTCTGCATTTTGTGCTTTCCTGGGTACACAATGTGGGGCAGAGAAAGAAAGCCATATTCAGCTATTCCCAATCACCCTCTGGACCTACTAAATGGTCCTAACAACACATCCTTGCATCTGAGATAACTGTCTTCGGTTGCCAGTTACTGTAGTGAGTCCTGTAACTGTAACTGTAGTAGGTACTGTTTTGCATTGCTAATGATTCAGGTTTCAAATCCAGCCAGTATATTTGGGTGGTGGGGTGGAGAAACTAATCAAACTGTTTTTTAACGTTGTTCTTTTTTCATTTGTTTGTTTTTAAAAGGAAATGTCATACATGAAACATATTAGAGAATGTTATTCAAGTTGCAAGGTGCAAAGGAAGTGCAATTTTTTGTTTGATCGCCTTTATAACCATAAGTCAAATCACTTGTACGTATTTATTGGAAGATAGCCTTGAATTGCATGATCATATACTATTTTTTTCCATCTGACCTCATTCATGTAACATGACAGAAGCAAATAAAGGTAGTATGGCAACCAATTGTAAACCTGGCATTTTCTAACTTTTGATCAGTTGACTTTGAAACCCAAATCATTGTCCTTTAATACATTTTTTGCATGTAATAGATAAACAAATTAATCTGGTCTTTGAGCCATAAGAGGTGGGTGGGGGAAGAGACAGAGAAAATTAAGAAAATCATGCCAGGTGCTAACGGTCAGTGGTTATATACAAACATTTAATTGCAGGGGGGAAGCTGGGAAATTCCTCTTCTCTCAACTGTTCAGTAACTTCCCAGGCCAGAGAGGTGAGTTCCCCTCTACCCTGTATCTATCTATATTTGCAAAACGTTAGTCAGCTATATAAACAACACAGTGTTTATGAGTGCTCGGGTCTAAGCCATCTGTGGTTTCTCTGCCCCCGTAAATCATTGGGTTATTAGAAATGGGCAAAAACGCTCTCATTTCACAATTCTTCTATACAAAAGGGACATGTTTTTCACACCGAGTTTAATGAAAAATCCTGTTTTTCAAGCAGCTCCACTGGTTACTTAGGGAAGTGAGTATTTGTCAGTTTGACAGCACCGATATGAGGGCAAGAGAAAGATTATCTAACTTCTGTCAGCTGCCCCATCTCCACTCTGAGCCAGACTGTCACATATGAAAGAAAATTCCCAGTAGGGAACAGAGAAGTGCAATTTTCCACTCTCTGAGCTTCTGCTTAATTGTCTAGCCAGGAAAGGAGGAAGGCAGTGCTTGCTGGGCTAGAAGGATAGCTGGTGCTGTACTGTCCATACTACATAAGGCATGTGGACTCCACTGATTTTGTCCTGCATGTGAACTCCCTTGGGGCTGGAGGAGCTGCGTGGGATTTGAAAAATTCTGCCAGACCAAGAGCCTCTCCTTTCCAATCTTCAGGGCTTTCAAGAGGACCCATCAAGGGATATCCACAGAGGTATAATGTTATCCAAAGGGATATTGAATTCCCCTTCTTCTATGGCCCACAGGAAATATGTACCAGCTAGGAGTTTCCTCCTCTCAGTTGCACAGTCCCCAGTGAGTGATAACTCAGAAGATCCCTGGTAGCCCCGGTAAACCCTGTGGCTTTTCTGCAGTAACCATTCTTTGTCCTTGTTAGAGACTCTCTTAGCTTCTTCCCCTAGTTGTGAAGAAGACAGAGGCACCATCTACCTGCAGTGCAGAATGAAGCAAGGAAGGAGGATTTTTCAGGTTGCATGTTTCCTAAAGGCTGTATTTTAACGTTGGCTTTGCTTTTATAAGCTACATGTCAGATCCCAGCAGGTTTCTGGCTACACAGACCCGCAGATACGCTTTCACTTTACACTAGCTGAGAATGTGGCCTCTGCTCATGTATTGTGACTGAAAAGTCTCATTTCCTGCATTAAGAGAAGTAACAAATCATTTAGGAGGATGTTCTGCCTCTCAGTGGGCTGCTAGATAGGGTTTTCTTTCATTTCCGAGTTCTCGCTTCTTCCACAACCCACACGTTCTTTTTAAGTCAGCAGATTTTACAGGAACCTCTGTAATGCGAGCAGAAATTCCAACACCCTCTTAGACGATACTTAAAACTGAGTGTCAGACTTGCAGTGGCTTAGTTCCTCCTTGATTCAGCTTTGCACTTTTCTCTCCCAGTTTGTTTCTCAATGGAAAGCACTGAGTTCTGCTATGTTTGCTGCTTAGTCCAAGATTATCTGAAATATGTTCTTCAGGAATCACAGCTTGGACCAGCCCCAAGCAGAGTGGCTCATGTCTTACGAAACATTGCATCCTCTTTGCAAAAGGAAACTGAAGAGAATCTAAAGCCATTCTTGGACACACTTGAATTTTCATCTATAGATGTTGCCAGAAGAATTTTCACCCAAGTCATGGAGCAAGAATTTGCTGATGGCAATACCAACTGGGGACGGATTTTGACAATATTTATGTTTGGAGGAATTGTCACTAAGAGGCTTCAAGAGCATGGAGCTCAGCTTACAGGAGAAAATAAAGAGCAGATTTCATATTTCATCACAGAATACATCATGAACAACAAGGCTGAATGGATAGAGGCAAATGGAGGTTGGGTAAGTTTGAGTCCAGTATTTTGCTGGGTTTTTGGTTGTAGCCATGTTGGTCTAAGGGCATAGACAGGCAGGGTTCTTTTGAGTAGTCCAGTATTTTAGCATTTTCATCATAGAATAAATCAAAATTGAATTAAAAAAAATGTCTTTAAAGCCTTTGTCAACAACATATCAAGCTTGTTCAGGGATTTACTAGAATTTGCCAGTTTAATTCATTTTTCGCATACCTTGAATTCCTCATAGAGCAAATATCTTTCTTCAGATTTAAAATGTAGAAAGGCAAAACTCTTCTTTAGAGTACTTGCTGCAGCATAAACCACTGAAGTAAGACTCAGGTCATTTGTACCACACTTTGTTAAAGCCAAAGCTAAAACTGAGCCCCTAGTGAAATGGTGCAGTAGTAATGCTTATTTATAGAACCTGATCCAGAACTTAATAGCAGTCAACGGCATGGGAATGGGAACACTTCAGCATTGAAATCCTGACCCTGTGCAATCAATAGAAGTTTTGCCATGACTTCAGTGAGACCAAGATTTCATCCCATGTCAGTTTACTTGTACAATCTGATAGTCAGGTAAAATTGGAATCAAATCCTGCTTGCTCTCTTCATGCACTGAGACTATTTGTTTGAATGGAAACTGGCCAAGATATTCTCTGGATCTCCATTTGTTTGTCAAATATGAGTAAAACATATGGAAAAGTAGTATGTTGCTTCGTCCTGTGCATCATGACCTTTCAGTGGAACACCTCTATACAGATGGAGGCCTGCTTAAAATTTTACTCCCCTGCTTTGCAGGTTTCAGCATGCAAACATGGGTTTCTGTAGGAGTTTAGGGGAAGTAGCAAGCAAATGACATCTGAGCCCGGTATTCCCCTGATTCTTCTCTTTTTCTAGTTTCTTTTTTCTTATTTACAAATTTAGATTTTTCTTCATCCATCCTCTCTGGTCCTGATTCTATTGTGAATGGAGTTATTTTTAAATTGTAATGTCATCTACAATTGTGAAATTTGGATTCTTTTCTTTTTCTCTGATTTTCTTTTTCTGCCTTCTCCCATTATTTTTTCCTTTTCTTTCTCTTTTTTTCTTTCTCTCTTCCATTTCCCTTCAGCCACCTCTTTTTGGTAAGAAGAATTACTGCTGCTTCCTTGTCTATTTTCAGAGGTTCATCTCTCAATTTCTTTGAAGTGAAGTAATCTATATAAGGTCAACAGCAGTTTCTGGTAACCCTGTGTCTGGCAGTATTAGGGATTTCCAAGAAGTACCTCATCACCTCAGAACAATGAGGTTGAAAGGAAATTCTTTAGAAACATATTAAACCTGAAACAGAGGCTGGGGCATGTTATTTGCAGAGACTGGCCCAAAACAAGAAATGTATTTCCATCCTACATATGATCCTGCCCCCAGAGAGAGCAGGCAGGAAGGACATATTCTTGACCATGATCTGATCCAGAGATAAGGCAGACATTGAATGAAGTGTGGATATTTTCAACTATTGTTTTTAGAGCACAGTTCACTTATTTCTAAGTTAGTTGACTGGAATTGTAGGCACCAGGTTATGTCACCCTCTGTTGAACTGCAGTCAGAAGACAACAATGCACTTTGCACATAAGCTTATTATTTTAAAGCAATAACCATGTTTTTGTTTTGTTTTTTTCCTATAGGAAAACGGCTTCCTTGTGAAGTTTGAGGATCAGAAATCGTGGCTGTCCTTATTTGACGTGAAGGCAAGAATCATGGCTGTTTTCTCCTTCTTCAGTCAATATTATTGATAAAAAATGGACCTGTCTTCCTGCATGCATCAACTGGATATTCTTCTCCTTTTTCACGTGTCTTTATACATTTGACCATTTCATTACACATGCTTGTGTTCATTGGTTTTACTTTGTGAGGTCTTTCATTGTACGTGTTCAAGCAGTGGGCCTTGCAGCAGGTGTTGCATAGTCTGAGGCTCTGTGCTGCAGTCATGGGTGGTTGAACCAATGGTATGGCCTCACTTCTTCATTAGTTCCTTTGAGTGGAGGTTGAGACAGCACCACCTTTGCCATGGCTCATCAGCCCCTGGTAGTAAGGACTCAGCTGCTGGACTGTCCATTTTTCCGCTGTCAAGTATTTTCTTCAGCCGCTCGTTCCTCATCTGTAGGTGTCCTCTTGGGTGTGGCATCAAGAGGTTGGGTGCTGGTGAGGAAGTTCCTGCGTGACTTTAGACATTTGTGTGCTGCGGGATGGTTATACAGTGGGCATCTCATACCTTCAGTTTGGCTTGATCATTCTATCCTGCTAGCCACTGCTCTTCTGATGTCAGGCGGAGCAATGCCAGCCAGCAGGTATACATTGTTTGGTCCGGTAGGCTTCACACATCCTGTGATGCACTGGCAGCTATTGTTCCGACTGGGGTCAAGGCATGACTCATTGCACTGATTTCCTTTCAATAACTTCACCAAGGCTAAAATAAAGGAGGGGTTTTTTTGTTTTTACTTTGTTAATTTATGAACATACATAATCAATATGCCCAATGTGGCTTCTTTGACCACAGAAGAAACTGGAGTCCTCCAGTATGGAAGAGGAAGAGTACCAGCCCGCCAATATAAGTCAAGGAGAACAGTCAAGGAGAAACTGCTTTTAGGAAAAAGTTAATTATTCATGTTCATTCAATCTAGGCTGTTGTGCTGCACATATGTAGTAGAGCACTGAGTTATAAGCATGATCTAGTTGGGGGTGGGCAGCGTGAATTGTAATTGTTTTGTAAATGCATCTTGCTTTATTGCTATGGTCCCAACTCTTCATTGGTCCATAGGCAACAATACTAAACAATTAATGCACCGCTATTTGCATCATCATTTGCTTTCCCTGTCAATTTTAGTTTTAATATTTTCAGTTCTTACAGCTAGAAATAATATTGGAGGGTCTCACAGGCAACACATGGCCTGAAGCTATGGGATGGGAACAACTGCTTATTTTATTTTATTGCAACTTTATTATAAACAAAATATATTTTTTCACTAAAAGAAAACTAGATAAACATCCTTTATGTAAGTGCATCAGAGTTTATGAATAGATTGAATACTTATAATAGAACCAGTAACTTAAAATATTGGCCAGTTACACGAAATGTGTATTCCTGTTTACTGACAGTTCAATGGCATTTGTTTAATAATTTCTTTTTTAAAAAAAGGTTCTTTGTATGTACAGTTGCTACTTTATAAACTGCAGTAAGGTAGCCATTTAATTTCTTTTTAAAGAGATGTTTTTTACATGGTGAAGTGCAATAAAAATATTTGAAATTAATAAACTTTTGGTATCCCCTCTTTCTTTAGGACAATGAGTTTTGAAAAAAATATATTTTAAAGAATATATGGAGTTAGAATTGAGGCTTATTTTTACTAAGTTTCATCACGTGTGCTAGATAAGTAGTTCTCAACCATGTTAGACTCAGGGCACCCCTTGGAAAATGCCAGTTCTTCATTTTTACTTGGTTTTTTGACCACAGAAAAGTAACAGAACAATTCTTCTGTTGCAAAGAACTGAGAAAGAGCACAGCAGGTCAGAATGTGTTTAGCACAATGGATTCCTGTTTGAATGTCCGGGTTTATATTGTGAATAATGTTTGCATGCTTAACAGTGCTAACATTATGTGGAACCACATAACACCCTTGAAAGGTTCTCAGAGCACCCCAGGGGGCTGTGGCACTGTAACAGGGAATCCTAGCCCTGTAACGAGGAAGCAGGTTCGCCCCTTTAAGGCCAGAACTTTCTGGGCACAGAGGGCTGGTGGGGAAGGGGTTAAATGCGGAACCTGGATGGCCAGTCAGCTGACCAGAAGAGGCAGGACTATAAGAACCCTGGGTTCAATGGCAGTAGAGGGGTAGCAGCTGAAGGGGAAGTGGTGGTCTCTGAGAGCTCCACGAAGAAGCTTGGGGAGTGGTCCACGGCAGGAAGGGGGAAGCTACAGAAGCCCCTGAGAGGTGGCGGCTGCACCGCAGCCCGGACTGTAGCTGATGTTGCAGAGCCGAAGCACGAAACAGGTTCATGTAAGCTGACCTGCTGCTTTGCTCGATCTATCACGCAGTTATTTATTTATTTTTTTTGTGATTATTGTATAAGACCGGTGGTTTGGGAGAGGCTATTAGGGGCCGGAAGAGGCCTCATTATGGGGACCCACTATGGAGTGGGGACCCCGGCACCAGTGAGGGCGCAGCTTTTGGGGGCACACACCCTGGTGCCAGTGAGGTGCAGAGCGACACAGGGCTGTGCAGAGCCTGAGTGCCAGTAAGGGCGCAGTTTTGGGGTGACACAAACCCCAGCACTCAAAGGATGATCTTAAAAAGGCCAGGGAGGCCTGGTGCACCTGGGGTACAACTATATTTTGTTTTGACTGTCAGGGTGCAGGTTTGGGGTTGCACCCTGGTTTCAAACTTGCAGTCCCCTAGCTGTGGGGCCAGTGCCCGTGCCTCTGGGTCAGGGAGTGCCAGGCTCCAGAAGGGAGCAGAAAAGGGAGCCATGAGCCACCAGGCACGGGAAGAAAAAGCTAGAGCCTCGGAGTCAAACCCTGTTTAGTGGGTTTGGATGGGGAGGCCTAGATAGAGGAAAAAAAGAAGGGGGTCAGGCCATCCTAGGAGAGACCCCAACATACCCAATATAATAGGCAGACTCCTGCTCGCATCATAATTTCTATCAAGACGTGGCAGGAGAGATTAGGGTGGGACAGAAGAATTCCAAAGAAGGCTCCAAAGGCGCTCCATGTAAGGCGCGGATGACCAGGAAGATGGTGCTGGGGAGGGTGACCTGTTACAGGCACCATGGTTGAGAATCACTGGATTGCATACTCTTGCAAAAGCCAGCCTGGGCTAAAGTGAAAATCCAGGCCTGATCTGAAAAGAAAGTAATTTACAAGCCAATCTGTATGATTTTTGTAGCACTGTCTGGTCATTCATATAAACATATACTTTTCCTGGGGAAATGATGTAATAGACACTATATTTGGAGGCAAAAGTCTCTCCAATGTCAGGGGAACACCCTGTACCTGTTGCAAGCTTTTACAGTCTGTAGTGGGTTTGTTTGAACTGAATCAGGCTTTTCACTTGCTTCAAACAGTACTTGTGGCACTTAAGGAGGGAAATTCTAGGTTTTTCTGTAGCAGCCAGGACTGTTTCTGTGGTAACAGGTGATGGGAGTCAGGACTTTCTTTCCTACAGGGTTGGAGAGAGATAAACCAGGACAAGGAGCATGTGCAGGTGTGCGTGGGGATCAGTGATCCTGTGGACACCACTTTTTTTCCAAGACCCTCTCCTGTGGAGTTTTATAGTGTTGGGAAGATGTGCTCTTGCAGGTGGCATGTTTTCCAAATGAACTGGAGGGGTTTTGAAGTGTTAAAGTATTAAAAACTGCTAGAACCATCGTTTCCTTCAGTTTCTCCTTTACTTGAAGATGGGATACTGCACAGTGCCAGGGGGAACATTCATTTACAGTAGAGGTCTTGGGAGTAATTTAGGGCTCTTGAGGAAAAGGACCCTTGGAGCATGTGGAAGAAGGCCACATCTGGCCATACTTCAGGATTCAATGAGACATTTGTCCCATATGGCTTCTTGGCATCTGGGATTTGCAGGCCCAGGTTCATGGGATGAATCTCATAGAGAAGTGATTCTCAGTTAGGGTGCTAGAGCACCCTGGGGTACCTTTTGAAGGGTGCCTTGAGGTGTGAGGAGATAAGCAGATAAGCCAGGCTCAGACTTGTCCCTGCATGAACAATCTCCTACCTCTTACTGTCCAGCCCCTGTGTAGGGAGGTAAGCTCTGTAATGTATAAATTAATTATTGAAATTGGGTGCCAGTCAATTTGCAAAAGTTATGGAGGGGTGCCTTGAGTCCACTAAAGGGTGACCCTTGAGTCTAAAAAGTTTGAGAACACTGTTTATATCTTTCTTGTAGACATATTGGAGCTATGATGATCAAGACCTGAAGCAGTACAGGTAGTTGTTGACCCAAGGCAGTGTAAGGAAAATAAGGGAAAATCTGGACCCTCAAAGGCATGAATTCAGGTTGCTTAGCCAGTATTTGTGCCTATGTATCACCAATATGTGGACAAGGTTCTTTGGGTAGATGTAATGTCTTTTATTAGACCAACTAAATGTGATATCTAGATGCGATATCTTTTATTAGACCCAGGAGAGCACACAAATCGCCAGTAAACTCTCCCTAAGCCTGAAGAAGGGTGTTTGTGCCAGAAAGCTTACAAACAACAATTTTTCCAACTATTTAGTCCGACTAATAAAATCTCCCATCTACCCAAAGAACCATGTCTGCCAGTGTCCTTAGACCAACATGGCTACAAATAACAACATCATCAGTATGTGTGCATTAAGAATATATTAGATGGAAAATATATGTAATGGAGGATCATTGTACAGGATGTGGATTTTTCATTTTCCTCTGACACATCTGGCGATGAGCAGCACTGGAAGAAAGATACCAGACAAGATGGACTGAGGACCTTGAGGAATGACTTTCTAAATAAATGCTGAAATGTATTTATTTGTATAGTAGTCCCTAGAGATCAAAAATCTTATTCACTTTCAGACAGTACTTACTGTACAACTTTATTTTCTTTCATCAAATAATATATTTTAAATTATGAAACTATAGAATTTTAATTAAAACACAAAAAGCCAGACATGGCCTTTTTTCCCCTTTTTAAGCATAGAATTAAAGATAGAAGGTGCAAAAGTTCT